GTCCTCATATGTCCGTCTGTGTCCTCATGTGTCCTCATGTGTCTTCATGTGTTCTCGTGTCCTCATATGTCTTTATGTGTCCTCATGTTCTCATGTATCCTCATATGTCCTCATGTGTCCTCATATGTCCTTATGTGTCCTCATGTGTCCTCATGTGTCTTCATATGTCCTTATGTGTCCTCATGTGTCCTCATGTGTCTTCATGTGTTCTCATGTGTCCTCATGTGTCTTCATGTGTTCTCATGTGTCCTCATATGTCTTCATGTGTTCTCATGTGTCCTCATATGTCTTTATGTGTCCTTGTGTTCTCATGTGTCTTCATGTGTTCTCATGTGTCCTCATATGTCCTTATGTGTCCTTGTGTTCTCATGTGTCTTCATATGTCTTCATGTGTTCTCATGTGTCCTCATATGTCTTTATGTGTCCTTGTGTTCTCATGTGTCTTCATGTGTTCTCATGTGTCTTCATGTGTTCTCATGTGTCTTCATATGTCCTTATGTGTCCTCATGTGTCCTTATATGTCTTTATGTGTCCTTGTGTTCTCATGTGTCTTCATGTGTTCTCATGTGTCCTCATATGTCCTTATGTGTCCTCATGATCTCATGTGTCTTCATGTGGTCTTATGTTTTCTCATGTGTTGTATCTGTTTGTGTGTGGTCCACGTTGAGGGCACAATCCACAGAGAGGTAACATAACCTTTTACAGTGTACATGAGACACACCATCTGTCGCAGTGAGAGTTAACCTAGTGCAAAAATCCCGCCATGCCATCTGGCACCATTGGCTCATTGGCTTTATTTGGCATGTGAAACATCCTCCTTAGATCACCGTGGTTACATGCACACATGCTCTTCTCTGCAGGTTTATAACACACTCTGAAAAAGACATGGTAGGTTTGACTTCCTGACATTACACATAAAGACTCTACCAACATCAGGTCTGCCTGCAGGGATTAAAGCTCTACTGAATCTTAAAATATTGAACCTTGAGACAGAGACACTTGTACTGTGACAAAAAGAAAGAAAGGAGAAGAAGTAGGTTGTTTAATGTGTGACCCCCTGAGTTGAGAGAGAGAGGAATGAAAGAGGAAGTGTCCCGGGGGTTCACACACAGAACAACCAGCACTCTGTTCACATTCAAGTACGGACATGACGTCATCGTCCAGGGAGCAGCATGTAAAGCCTCTGAGTGGACTCTGTGGATCTGTAGACTGAAGTCCTGAAGCACATGTCACCACTCAGGTTAATGCTCACTGTAACACGATATGCTTCCTTATAGGAGAGTTCTTTCTATATGTTGTCCTGGCTAATAATGTGGAAGCTTTTCAGGGAATCATTCCTCCTGCAGACTCTCCATTCACATCTGCTGCTAATGTCAGATGATTGACAGCACACAGAGCGTAACATGATGCTCCTTATGATTAAACATTTCTCAACTTGGGCAGTGAAGCAACAACTGTAAAGTGAGGCGAAGGCTTTCTGCTGGCCGTGATGGATTATCCAGTGATGGAAAAGTTTGACTGTGTGAAACTTGTTTAACGTAATGTAGTCACAACCAAAGGAAGTGGACTTTAAAGTGTCCTTAAGAAGATGACAGTGACTTCAACTTCATCGTAGATAAGTGTTGGAGGGTATAAATAAATGGTTGACAATTAAGGATGAGTTAATACTGACGGACTCTTTACTCAGCGGCCTCTACCATCAGTGTGTGAATGTGTGTGAATGGATGAGTTAATACCGATGGACTCTTTACTCAGCGGCCTCTACCATCAGTGTGTGAATGTGTATGAATGGATGAGTTAATACCGATGGACTCTTTACTCAGTGGCCTCTACCATCAGTGTGTGAATGTGTGTGAATGGATGAGTTAATACTGATGGACTCTTTACACAGCGGCCTCTACCATCAGTGTGTGAATGTGTGTGAATGGATGAGTTAATACTGATGGACTCTTTACACAGGATGTTTATCATTTAAAATTTATGAACTCAGATATTTACGTACATGCATACAGATCTTTAGAGGACTCTCATCCCTGGTTTTAAGGGAAGGAGAGGCCAGCTAGCAAATACTTTTCTAAAGATCCCAGAATGTTCTCTGATAACCTTTTGTAAAATTTGGCATGTGAGAAAAAAACATTTTACACATTCAGAGTTGCAGGGGGACTGAAACCAATCCAATGTCACTGGACAAGAGGCGGGGTCGCCCATGCATGCAGACCATATGCAGGGACCTACTTCTGCAAGGCAACTTCACCAACCAATATCTGTGTCACAGGAAGCCCATCCCTGAGCTGATAAGAACTTGTTATGTGTTATTTTCATGTGACCTGATCTTCCCCAGTTTATCTTTAAGGCAGATACACCCCATAATAAGAAGCTGTAGGGGTGCTGAGTTCTAGTTGTGCATGCTAGTTAATAGTCATGTCTCACTGAGGCTTTTAATTGGAACAGAGCCATCGTTAATATGTAACTCCTGTGGCTTAACTTTTACACAGGCTCAGCATTCCAACTCACATTCTTATTCATTTGACTTCGGCCACTACTGCAGCTGCTCTTTCTAAGCACACAAACTGCATGCAGTGTGCACACACCTCTGACATACCACTTCATCACCACATTGCACCTTGAACTTTAACCCTGATGCTTATAGATCCATCACAGTCCACAGCACAAACACTCCAACAACGTCAAAAATGCAGTAGGATGTCATCACATTGCCATCCATGTGGTTTTTCCCTCACTGCATTTGACACAAATATATTCAGAATCAGATTTATTGGCCAGGTATGCTTACCCACACTAGGTTCTCAGGGTCCTGTGTGGGGTAAGCTCCTTAGGGTCCTGTGTGGGCTTTGGTTCTTAGGGTCCTGTGTGGGCTTTGGTTCCAAGGTTCTTAGGGTCCTGTGTGGGCTTTGGTTCTTAGGGTCCTGTGTGGGCTTTGGTTCTTAGGGTCCTGTGTGGGCTTTGGTTCCAAGGTTCTTAGGGTCCTGTGTGGACTTTGGTTCCAAGGTTCTTAGGGTCCTGTGTGGGCTTTGGTTCCAAGGTTCTTAGGGTCCTGTGTGGGGTAAGCTCCTTAGGGTCCTGTGTGGGCTTTGGTTCTTAGGGTTCTGTGTGGGCTTTGGTTCTTAGGGTCCTGTGTGGGCTTTGGTTCTTAGGGTCCTGTGTGGGCTTTGGTTCCAAGGTTCTTAGGGTCCTGTGTGGGATTAGGTTCTCAGGGTCCTGTTTAGGTAGCTAGTCTTCATATGGAGGGATGCTCAGAGAAGTACGAGGTCCTACTGACCCGAGGACAAAGTGAGCATGTTCCTAGTTCAGGTTCTGATTGATGGCAGGTATCCTGTAGCTCTGGGTCTGTTAATTTGAGAGTAAGACGACCCCCCCTGGCCCCCTGACCCCCTGAGCCCCGACACGTCTCTGATGCAGACTCAAACACTTCATAGTTTAGAAGAAAAACTAACATTTCATATTTCCTCATCTTCCTACCTCATCTTTGTTTGTTATCTTTGTTCTTTGTTGTTTGTTTGTTGCTACTGGACCGGACTGTCTGGAGAGCCAATTAGAGGTGTGCTGTCACATGAATCTGGACTGTGAGCTTTTCAAACTGTGAGCAGGAAACTACAAAATGAAAAAAGGTTTGTGACTGAGTCTGCCTAAAATCTGCCTCATCGGAGAGATCCCTTCTCCTGTCGATGTGAATCTTTGGTTAAACTTCCTGTGAGAACTTTACGGCTCAGAGAGCAGCCACGTTCAGACGGGATCTGAACGATCATGGGCTGCAGGGACACGCTGCACATCTCAGATTTAGGATCTAATGACACACAAAGAATTCATAAAGACAACCCAAAAGGAGAAGTAAGAAACCTGATGCGAGGACGTGCAGGGCCGGAGCGGGACCTGTACTCAGGGGTCCCCCAGGAGGATCACTGCCAGCTCACCTGTGTCATCACCTCCACCTGGAGTGTGTACAGCGAGCTGGATTTAATACTCTCTCTTCTCCGCTCTCCGCTCTCCTCCGCTATCCATCACATCACCTTCTGACCGAACTAACGCAATTAATTAGATTCTTAATTTTGATTTACTTTATTACTCCCCGAGGGGAAATTCTGTTAGAGTTAGGTCTGTCTTGGTCTGCACCGGGACTTGAACCGGCAACCCTTCGGTTCCCAACCCAAGTCCTCAAAATCTCCACATTAGCCACTCTGATGACGTCACAATACCAAATATTTAAACTCCCGATATGATGAAAATCAAAAGATATCAACAACCCCTCTGAGATCTTGGTTCTTTAAAGACCCAGACGTGAAGGCGGACTGGAGAACGTGGTCGGACTCCTCATCTCATGATCTAACGGTTCTCTCTCTCTCTCTCTCTCTCTCTCTCTACCCCCTCTCAGTCCGGGTCCTCTCTCTCTCACTCTCTCTCTCTCTCTCTCTCTCTCTCTACCCCCCCTCTCAGTCCGGGTCCTCTCTCTCTCACTCTCTCTCTCTCTACCCCCTCTCAGTCCGGGTCCTCTCTCTCTCTCTCACTCTCTCTCTCTCTCTCTCTCTCTCTCTCTACCCCCCTCTCCCTCCGGGTCCTCTCCCTCTCTCTCTCTCTCTCTCTCTCTCCCTCTCTCTCTCCCCCCCCTCTCAGTCCGGGTCCTCTCCCTCTCTCTCTCTCTCTCTCTCTCTCTCTACCCCCCCTCTCAGTCCGGGTCCTCTCCCTCTCACTCTCTCTCTCTCTCTCTCTCTCTCTCTCTACCCCCCCTCTCAGTCCGGGTCCTCTCACTCTCTCTCTCTCTCTCTCTCTCTACCCCCCCCCCCCACCCCTTCAGTCGTGGTCCAGACGATCGGCGCGCAGGACAACTTTCACTCGCGTTATAACGCATGGCATGCAGCCTCTGAGGAAACGGATGAAAATCTACTGAAGATAAAGAGAAGAAGAATCTACTGAAGATAAAAGAGAAGAAGAATCTACTTAAGATAAAAGAGAAGAAGAATCTACTTAAGATAAAAGACAAAAAGAAGAGACGATTGAAGGATTTTATTTTGTTAACAAACCCACGAGCATGTCGGGATATCACCTTCTGTCCGTGTGGTAACCTGCAGCTGAACGCTTCTCTGAGACCGTCGGGATGGATCTGTGGGGACTCTATCTGTTTCATCTCCTAACTCTGGGTAAGTCATCACTTTACTGACGTCATCAGATGTGGGAATAAGACCTGTCCCTCATTTAGAGAAAGTGTTGTTAAAACAAGCCTTTGCTTCACCTCATCGTCATTGGGGAGCACGAATATCCGTTCAGAGATCAGCTGCCAATCACAGAAAGAGCTCCTGTTTGCGTGTTTAAAACCCGCACGGTGCGCTCCTGTGTGCGTGTTTAAAACCCGCACGGTGCGCTCCTGTGTGCGTGTTTAAAACCCGCACGGTGCGCTCCTGTGTGCGTGTTTAAAACCCGCACGGAGCGCTCCTGTGTGCGTGTTTAAAACCCGCACGGTGCGCTCCTGTGTGCTTCCTGCTCTGTGATGGAACTAGCAGCTGGAGTGTTGATTTCTCACTCCCTATTGGCTCACCTGTCTTTATATAAACACACCTGCGGTGATTACCCCCCTGATGGGTCAGTCAGTCTCCCTGCTTAACAAAGACCAGGATGTGAATGATATAAATATATAACATCTGCTGCGTTCATTATTAATGAGCTCAGTCAGAGGAACTGAGGAGGAGGTGAAGTCAGTAATCCTGAATCAGACTTTAATGTCGTTTCACCATCGATTCAGAATTATTCACTTTAAATGAACCGAGCGATGCTTACTCCACCTGGAGAGTTTACTCCACCTGGAGAGTTTACTCCACCTGGAGAGCTTACTCCACCTGGAGAGTTTACTCCACCTGGAGAGCTTACTCCACCTGGAGAGCTTACTCCACCTGGAGAGCTTACTCCACCTGGAGATTTTAGTTTACTCCACCTGGAGAGTTTAGTTTACTCCACCTGGAGAGCTTACTCCACCTGGAGAGCTTACTCCACCTGGAGAGTTTAGTTTACTCCACCTGGAGAGTTTACTCCACCTAGAGAGTTTACTCCACCTGGAGAGCTTACTCCACCTGGAGAGTTTAGTTTACTCCACCTGGAGAGTTTAGTTTACTCCACCTGGAGAGCTTACTCCACCTGGAGAGTTTAGTTTACTCCACCTGGAGAGTTTAGTTTACTCCACCTGGAGAGTTTAGTTTACTCCACCTGGAGAGTTTAGTTTACTCCACCTGGAGAGTTTACTCCACCTGGAGTATGTTTGTTGTCTTTGTTGTTTGTTTGTTTGTTTGTTGTCTTTGCTGTTTGTTTGTTGTCTTTGTTGTTTGTTTGTTGTCTTTGTTGTTTGTTTGTTGTCTTTATTTGTTGTCTTTGTTGTTTGTTTTCTTTGTTGTTTGTTTGTTGTCTTTATTTGTTGTCTTTGTTGTTTGTTGTATTTGTTGTCTCTGTTGTTTGTTGACTTTGTGTGTTGTCTTTGTTGTTTGTTTGCTGTCTTTGTTGTCTTTGTTTTTTATTTCTTGTCTTTGTTGTTTGTTGTCTTTGTTGTTTGTTTGTTTGTTGTCTTTATTTGTTGTCTTTGTTGTATTTGTTTGTTGTCTCTGTTGTTTGTTGACTTTGTGTGTTGTTTGTTTGTTGTCTTTATTTGTTGTCTTTGTTGTATTTGTTTGTTGTCTCTGTTGTTTGTTGACTTTGTGTGTTGTCTTTGTTGTTTGTTTGCTGTCTTTGTTGTCTTTGTTGTTTGTTTGTTGTCTTGTTTGTTTGTTGTCTTTATTTGTTGTATTTGTTTGTTGTCTCTGTTGTTTGTTGACTTTGTGTGTTGTCTTTGTTGTTTGTTTGCTGTCTTTGTTGTCTTTGTTGTTTGTTTGTTGTCTTTTTTGTTTTTTTGTTGTCTTTGTTGTTTGTTGTCTTTGTTGTTTGCAGGCTGTAAACATGTTTATTTGTCCTGTCAAAGCTGGCTCTTTAGAATGAGTGTGTATGTGACTTCAGGCTTTTAGGTCCAGCCTCAAGTGGACAGTGGAGGAACTGCAGGTTGTTGCTCTTCTGGATTGGTTTTGTTTTCCATCAATCAGCTGATTGAGACGAAGCTCTGAGACGTCAGAGGTTTGAAGTGTCGACATTCAACATGTTGTAAAGAAGGGAATCAGTCAACACTTAATGCATCCTGAACTTGTTCAGATAGCTTGGTGTCCTGTAGCATCAGTGCTGCTTCTCAGACAGGAAACCAACCACTCTGAAGGATACCAGGTTTCCATCCTATCAGTGTCAATGTGAGCGTCACTGAGTATCTGGCAGAGCCGAGGTTAAAAGCTTTTCAGACTGAATGGCTGTTCATTCCTTCCTGTGGGTTGCCTCTGTTCTGCAGCCTTCATCAAAGTGCTTCAAATGTCTTTTGTGTTTCATTAGAGGGGTTTTTTAATGTGCTGCTGAGCGGGAACATTTCTTCTGATGTCAGTCAGTGTGACGGCTCTGACCTTAAATGTGACAGTGTTCAACTTTTCACATACTCATCTGCCTATAGTATCAGACAATCAGAACTGAGAGTAGAAGCAACTCTCATCAGGGAGTTTGTAAGGCCGAGTTAAGCAATGACGGGGGGGGGGGAGTCAAAGAGGTGAGGTGATGCATGAGTCTGAGTTTAAAGGCATCTTCCATTATTATAGCGGAGCGACTTCTCTCTCATTAAATCTTGATTCTACGTGTTTACATTTACAGATTTATGTGATTGAACAAAATGACCACCAACAAGCAGAGAGGACGGACAGAGAACGAACCAATGTTATATTTTTATCAATCAATCAATCAATCAATCAATCAATCTTTATTTGTACAGCACCAACTCACTCAATCAATCAATTCTTGGTACTACCTCCCGTAGTACATTTAGAGACCGTAGGTACCACGAGCAGGCCTGATATCTGAAGGCTCTACCTCCCGTAATACATTTAGAGACCGTAGGTACCACGAGCAGGCCTGATAACTGAAGGCTCCACCTCCCATGGTACATTTAGAGACCGTAGGTACCACGAGCAGGTCTGATAACTGAAGGCTCTACCTCCCGTAGTACATTTAGAGACCGTAGGTACCACGAGCAGGCCTGATAACTGAAGGCTCTACCTCCCGTAGTACATTTAGAGACCGTAGGTACCACGAGCAGGCCTGATAACTGAAGGCTCCACCTCCCGTAGTACATTTAGAGACCGTAGGTACCACGAGCAGGCCTGATAACTGAAGGCTCTACCTCCCGTAGTACATTTAGAGACCGTAGGTACCACGAGCAGGCCTGATAACTGAAGGCTCTACCTCCCGTAGTACATTTAGAGACCGTAGGTACCACGAGCAGGCCTGATAACTGAAGGCTCTACCTCCCGTAGTACATTTAGAGACCGTAGGTACCACGAGCAGGCCTGATAACTGAAGGCTCCACCTCCCGTAGTACATTTAGAGACCGTAGGTACCACGAGCAGGCCTGATAACTGAAGGCTCCACCTCCCGTAGTACATTTAGAGACCGTAGGTACCACGAGCAGGCCTGATAACTGAAGGCTCCACCTCCCGTAGTACATTTAGAGACCGTAGGTACCACGAGCAGGCCTGATAACTGAAGGCTCCACCTCCCGTAGTACATTTAGAGACCGTAGGTACCACGAGCAGGTCTGATAACTGAAGGCTCCACCTCCCGTAGTACATTTAGAGACCGTAGGTACCACGAGCAGGTCTGATAACTGAAGGCTCCACCTCCCGTAGTACATTTAGAGACCGTAGGTACCACGAGCAGGCCTGATAACTGAAGGCTCTACCTCCCGTAGTACATTTAGAGACCGTAGGTACCACGAGCAGGCCTGATAACTGAAAGCTCCCCTGCAGTATCGTCTTTCATAACGCCACCCCTCCCCCGTCACAATACTCCCATCAGTTATAATTTTTCCAGTCAGCGTCTGAGATCTGGACTCTGATTCTCTGCTGAGTGTAAGAAGATCCTCTTTAATACTCTGGTGGGTTTCATCCAGCAGAGAGACGAGGAGGCAACAAAGCGACTGCCCCTCCTGAGAAAGACTAAAGTAGTGGTCTTCACCCTCACTCAACAGACGGAGACGGGGTCCCTTAAATATGCACAGCCTTCTGTTTAAGATCGCTATTGATCTGCAGGATTAGATATGGAAGGTGAAAATGATACAGTAATCGTGTACGCTGCTCCCCCCCCCCTCCCCTGCAGCTCCACTTCCTGCTGCCTCGTTGAGTTTCTGGGACTCTACTGAATCGGGGGGGGGGGGGGAGGTTCATGAAGATGAACAGAAGCAACAAAAGGTCAAAGGAAAGGTTTTTCATCAAGTTCTCTGGGTTTGAAATGAATGTTTTCATTACTCTGTCCTTGAGTTCATCTTGAACTTCTCTTTGATTAAAATAGTGACGTATCTGATTCCTCTTTGAATCGCTGGCTTTAATAACCAGGAAGTGCAAACAGGAAGTGAAGAAACAGTCATCAGCTCTATTTTTGATTGATGCTTCAGCTCTGCTGTTCCCAACACAGGTTCCAGGTTTCCTGACAGACAGGATGAATGAGATCACTTCTTCTGGATATCTGTCGCCGTCCACATGCTCTATACGCAGCAGTATTACCATTATTAAATTGAAATAAGAGCAGCCTCAAACGTTATATCATTTAATGACTCTTCCATTGTTTGTTTACATGCACAGGCGAGTGAGTTACGCTGCATTTCAGCCAGTAAATGGGATCGTTTCTTATCTGTGTTTCCAGACTACAGCATATAGAGGCTGAGCTATGGCAGCGCATCGTTTCCAATGAAATGTATTCTAAAGCTGTATGCCTTGGAGGGGCTCTTCACTTAATCAAATCAGTGGAATCAGTTTGTGGCCTCGTCTTAGCCACAATAAAAAGGAAGGACTGGAAATGGTTGTTTGAGCCCTACAAATTAAATTATTGTCTTCTGTTATGCGCCTCAGAGTCTCTGCACTAACTGAGTATAAGCCTCTGAGTCTCTACACCAGCTGAGTATAAGCCTCAGAGTCTTTACACTAACTAAGTATAAGCCTCAGAGTCTTTACACTAACTGAGTCTAAGCCTCAGAGTTTCTACACTAACTGAGTCTAAGCCTCAGAGTCTTTACACTAACTGAGTATAAGCCTCAGAGTCT